TAAGCTTTAACATAAATTTAGGAATATTAATTTTAAGATATGATTCATACACATTTGAAATATTTCTCTGTCTCTAACAATCTTTTCCATTAAATTTATTCTAGAATTCTAAAAAATTATATTTTTAAAAATTTGAAGTGTTATTTCGAAAATTGATGCGAATTCGAATAACTTATATATTGATAATCAAATATTTTATTTATTTATTTATTTATTTGCATTATAAATCTTGTAATGTATCATTTTTCTTACAGTTGTCAATAATACATTTTAAATTAAATGATATTATAAAATATTTTAAATTTGCTATTATTTATATAATAAAATATAAACCAACAATTTTCGTTGCAATATATAATATTATAGTTAGATAGGTTGTAATAATTTTGGATTATAGTTAGTTAGGTTGTAATAATTTGGTTTTTTTTTTTTTTAGTGGATTAGGTTTTTCCGCCAATTCAAGATTTTAGTGGCCATTTTTTATCTATTTAATCCATTATTTATTGTAGTCTACATATGATTATATACTTTATCCATGGCAATTCTATGTTTTTTGTTTTATGTGATGCAAATTTAATGGTTAACATGAGTTCATACAGGGAAAGAATATCTTAATTATTCACAAATTGATTAAAAATGAAAGTTAATAATGTAAAACCCGTATTTCTTATTGGATTCTTAAAAAACAACATTTATAATGAATTTTCATAATTTTTTTGGATTTTTTTTAAGGCTTAATAAGACCGATTGGGCCGATTCCCGATCTGGATCGTTGATTCACCGATCCGGATGGGTTTATGAGGTGCCCGATCTGGGGCACCGATCCGTTTTTTAAACCACTGCTCTAGACACAAAGTTTAAGGCACAAGCAAATTACAGTTTGCGCAAAGAAGAAAATACGAAAGAGAGAATATCTCTAACCAAAACAAACCCAAGTCATCTTTGATCATGCAATATGAAACCTAGGAAAGCGATAAAAGCCTTTCCAAGTTGCTCCAGCATCAATGTGATTGATGTACAGTAAAAGGAAATCTCAGTTTCTAGCTTTAGATCCAAATATCACCTGCTATTATTACTACTAATACGCTTCAGGATAATGCAACAAAAGACTAGTAGTTGACCAATCAATCTTGAAGTTGGAACAACCGAGTTATTGAAAGCCAAAAGCAATCCAACACAAGAAAAGTAATCCTTCAGCCAGTTATTGAGGGCAACATCCTTTTTCCTTTTTATAGTCTATGGAGGATCACATCATGGCATTGCCAATAACATAAAAAAAGGGCCATAACCAGGTGCGGGTCCCGTGTACGCAGGGTCCCAGGAGGGGTGCGCTGGAAATGGTCCTAACCTTTGGCTTTTTATGCACAAAGTGGCCGCTCTCAAGACTCGAACCCGCGCTCTTGCGCTGGCTACCTGAGCCTTTTACCGTCACACCAAGTGGCATTGCCAATAACATGGTGACGCAAAATAATTCACTAAACAAAGTTCTGCAGAAAAAAGCAGAACTTGAAATGATGCGCATGCTAGTTATGCAGGAAAATTAAAAAAAAAAATCAATAATAGTAACCCCGCATAGACTTTTGAAATGAGTCAATTATAAGAAAACCATAGATTTCCTATCAATTATTAAAATTTCATAGATTTCCGCACAAAATATTAATAAAGAGCAGGAGAAGACATGCGTTTTGGTCACAGCATTCACTCATCTAGACAAAAGAAAGGAGAAATCCTGGAAAATCCACAAAAAACCAAGCATCAAAACTTAATCTAAGACAAGGATGGGCATTTCACCTTCGTATCTTGAATAGGCACTTTGGCTGCCTGTAAATTCTCAAGCATCTTTTTCTCAGAAGGTAAAAGAAATATAAGTGATTTCCCTCCAGAAGTGAATCGAGCAGTCCGACCAACTCGATGAATATAGGTTGGAATGTCTTCCGGACAATCAAGCTAAATTCAAAATGACACCAAGAAGCCAGTGGTAATGGATTCAGAAAAAAACCTTAAAATATAACAGACAGAAAACTGAAAAGAGATGGACTCTTTAAGATAAAATAAAGGTTGGGTTCCAATCAAGTTTACCTGGACAACCCAGTCAACAGCAGGAAAATCGAGGCCTCTGGATGCAACATCAGTTGAGAAAAGTACAGATCGTTTCTCCTCACAAAATTTTAAGAATATCGCCAATCGTTTTTCCTGCTTCATCCGCCCATGCAGGCACTTGAGAGGCATGCCAGGGCGCAGTTTTTTGAAAGCCTCATAAATAAATTTCACCTATTACAAACAAAGTTGATAAGCATCATCATCATCATCATTAGAGCTTTTTCCCAACTATTTGGGGTCGGCTACACGAATCCTAGTTCGCCATTTTGCTCTATGGTTCACAAGCATAAGAAAAGAAAATACCTAGCACTAAAACATTGATTGCGTGTACTTTTGATTGATATACTAGAAAAGAATTATAATTGGATAGGACCATAAATATGCCCCACTGTTTTCATTTTCCGTTCCTGGTAGATGCTAATTTCCGTTAGCATTCAATTGAGCCACTCTTTGCAAACCCAATGGCCATCACATGATCTACCCTTTCCAGAAGCTACTAAGGTTTCAATTTGTTAGGTATACATGTTCTTTTATTTATCCCCCAGAACTAGTTTCTTAATACTCCCCAAGTCCGACTAAGACTGGCAATTCAATCTGACCTCGCAGGAGGGGAATGAATCAAGGATGCCAGGTCTGAGTGAAAAACCATGGAACCTCACTGATTCCCAAGGTCCTTTGTTAGTCCCTTTCCCCACAACCCAACCCCTCTCCCCCCCCCCTCCCCCAACAAAATCCCCCAAACTCCTTTTTTCTGGAGAATCAGCTGTGTTTGACTGCTGACTCAGACACGGGCTCCGTATGAGCTTTAAACACTGCTTAAAACCATTACTTCAGCAGTGATCAATGGCATTATGTCCTTGTACTCCACAAATTGGCAAAGTATATATTCTAATTTAACATATTTTTAAATAGTGTTGGCCTCCAGTTACTCCGAATCCAATCCCCATTCCAGCCCAAACGGGAGGCAGACAAAACAGCCAGCTGCCATTCATCACATACTACTCTTCTAGTCCATCTCAGTTGCTCAATGACATGCTACATCTTAATTCGAATTAGGAAGGTTTAGAAAAAAATATATTGAGTGAATATCATCTAAAACATGAATAACCATTTTTTTTTTGACATGTTAACAGGACAGGATTGGAACTCTTGAAATCATGTTGTAGCTCCACCACCAGCGCCAAAACGTAAAGTGTACCGATATAAAGGAAAGGAAGAAAACACAAGCTTCACTAAACAAACCTGCTTGCAACTTGAAATGAAAACTAGGATCTTGGAATTTAGATGAGCCTTTAGGAAGCTCCACAACATGTCAAGCTTTTGTTCAAGGGAAACAATTATAGCAGTTTGCTTCAAGCGCTTTGGGGTGGCAGTTGTAGATTCGGCATGAACTGAGAGATACTCAGGGTCCTTCAAGCTGAGCCTTGCAAGGTCCTCCACAGATTTGGTTTGAGTCGCTGAGAAAAGCAAGGTCTGACGTTGTTTGGGAAGCTGTGAGATAATTGCATTCAATGTCTTTGAGAATCCCACGTCAAGAATTCGATCTGCCTCATCAAGCACTAAAATCTGTTTCATGACCACGAAAACATAATGAGATCAGAAACTTAATGACCAGTTACAATAATACTCTCTCTCTCTCTCTCTCTCTCTCTCACACACACACACACACACACACACACAAACAAAAAAACTTATGAATTGAAATTGGTCTTAAGAAGGAAATAGCTAGTCTTAACCTGGAGCTGTGAACACTCAAAATTCGGAGTCTCGTCCATGTGCTGAAGAAGCCGACCAGGAGTGCATACCAAGATGTTGAGATCATTCACATGATCCTTCTCTGTATCAACACCTTTACGACCACCAATCAGAAGCCCTGCACTAAAGCCGTGGTGCTTTCCCACTAATTTTAATTCTCCAAAAATCTGTGCAGCTAACTCTCTAGTGGGGGATATAATAATGCTTCCAACCCCATCCTCTGGACCCCATCTTGCTCGATAGAGCTTTTCTAACACCTAGTAAAGGAGTAATAGATGACAAGTGTGAAGACAAAAAATGTGAAAATATAACCAAAAAAAGGAAATAAAATGTCTGCTACGAAATGTAACATCAGGACAGAAAATTATAGAAATCGGCACACTTGGAGGAACAGAAATGATACATTAACAGTTGACAAGGTTTACATTTAGACAAACATACAGAAAAAAGAACAATCGCAGAAAATAATATAAAACAAATGGGAAAGATTTAAAAGCAAAGGGAGAACGTCACTAACTAGTTAAAGGTGAGAATAGCATTTCCTGCATGCAAGACGATAAGAAAATTCTGCACCCTAGTTCTGTATGGGTAGATAAGTAGATAGCATATCACCGATTTTGATGTTAAGTTTGCTATTCACCACATGTATCTAATGATACCTCTCAAAATCAACGTTTCTCTGGTTCTTTGGATTTCTTACGTTCTTCACAACCTTGATGACATGAACTTCAATTGGTCTTGAGCCTTCGAACATAACAAGTTGCCAACCCCACACCTCCAATAACAAATTATGGATGATCATATAGTCAAACTCATTCGTTCCATTTTGTATCCTAAACTCTCAATTTAACATGACTAATCCGTACCAATAATCAAGTTTGCTATCCTACTTGAGTAAGAGTGGAATCATAATGCTAGTGATGTAAGATAAATCAACATAAAAGAACTTAAGATCTTTGATGTAAGATAAAAAAAAATAAAAAAACTCTGATACAATTCAGGATCAATAACAAGCTCACCAAAATACATAATGGAAAGAAAAGAAGCTCAATAGGATTTCAACAAATGGATTTTCTGTGGTTGAAAGACAAGAAGTCTAGGAAGGAGAGTAGATCTACCAAAGATTACATTTTCTTTAGGTTTAGTTACGATTCAGACCTTGGATAATGTGTTGGGAACCTCATGCCTATAAAGAGTCATGAGAGCGACAAAACGACTACAATGCACTTCTCATTGCCTCTACCACCTTCAATTTTTCCCCCCTCAGTTGACCATGTTTTTCCTAGGAAGATTAGGTTTAGACATATGATCCCTGAGAATCGGGTTGTTGACCACTCTCTAGCAAACCTACATTAATGTCTGAAGAATTTGATTCGCTTTATTAGCGGTCTCCAAGATAAAACCTGGATAAGGAAGTCTTTAGAGGCAGGATCTAGTTTGCTCCTATATATTAAGGGAATGTGAAAAACGTTTGCTCCTATATATTAAAGGGAATGTGAAAAAAGTTTCCCCCTATATATTAAAGGGAATGTGAAAAAAAATAATCCCAACTACAGTAATTAGCTTCCATATGGAACTAAACAATCCCAAAGTATTTAAAGAGAATATTAACCCAAAGAACATTTATCAGCCATGTCAACAAGCTGAATAATCCTGTTCACTTTAAGGTAGTCTTCTATGTCATATATAGCATATTCACCACCATATTTACATCCTGCTTTAACTACATATCAATCATATTCAGCATATTTGAGAGCTTTTGTCTTTGCGATTTGTTATAAACATCGAACCCAAGGGAGTGCAGCAGCCATCAGTATATCCATCAATGGATAAAGAATTATGAAATACATTTTCAAACACATTAGAGTGTATTATCAAAACGTTGGCATTAATTTCTTTATTTATTTAAAAGGCCACAAAAAATGTTTAGAAAGTTGATTCCTTGTATGACAGCCTTGTCATGATTTAATATGTCAAAGATGCTTATAGCTTAATAAATTTTCAAGCAGGTGCTCGAAATAGTGATTCCAAGCTCCTAGGGATTATTATTTCTTAACCCATGTTCTGAGGGATCTTATTGGGTCAAGTTACGACTTATGGGATGCAAGCCTTCAGTCTCTCATCCTACCCCAATCTTTTTTGGTTTCCTCAAGTGCAGAAACACATAATGATAGGAAAGAACGTAACTGAGCATTTCTTTTGTGATGTAACTGACAAAAACCCAGGCACTACGAAAATTTGACATGGACAGCTTTCAGTGAAAAGCTTGAGCAATTCAATCGAATGAACACCAACTATGTGGCATAAGACTTCCATTAACAAGAGATATTAAACCTTTCAGTTAACTGAAGGACAGAAGACGAGTGACCCTTCCTTTTCTATTCAGAGGTGAGGCCATTCCCTTCTTCAATTCTTAAAGATTAAAAAATGAATCATCTACTTAGACCGCCGATTCATCGTTCAAAACTCATTAAATAAATCCTAACCCCCAAAAGAAACACCAAATGTAGCTGAGGCATCAATCACCTAATTGACGTCCTCCCCATGACCATGGTAAGACAATTGAAAACTTGAAGCAGAAAATTTTATCATTAAGAAACTACAGAACGAAGAACTGAAATATGATAGGGAAAAAGTAAATTTCACTAAAATTCAGCCCCACATTTAAAAGAAAGCTAAACGGCCAACAACGAACAAAAATTTGACCAGCTTCTTACTTCAATTCATTAATGACACGACACATTCATCAGGAATCAACCAATTTAGCTAAAGCTGAACCATCAAATAACCACAATAATCAACAGCCAACCCTCTTCTAAGCACAATAATATGGGCCGTGTGAACCAAAAAATTCCATGGTTTTATTCTTCGGTAAGGAATGTAATTAGCAACTATTTAATAACAAAAGAAGCATGATAAACTAACCTACAGCTACCCAAAAAAACTGATTCCAGAAATTTGTAATTTGAAAAACAAATTCTTTAGAAAAAAATACATACCGGAATGATGAATGCTAGGGTTTTTCCAGACCCTGTCTTTGCAGCTCCAAGAACATCTCTCCCACAGAGCGAATGGGGCAGTGAGGCTCGCTGAATATCGCTCATCACTGTGTATTTCTCACCCAACCCTTGCTTCGTCTTTTGAGAGAGAGGCAGCTGATCGAACCTCCTGCAACCAGCATAAGGGGAGAAAGTGTTGTCGTCTATGGGACCAATTGGACCATCAGGAACAGAGAAGGAGAGCGGGTTCGAACCACGTTCTGGTTTTCCGGCTTCAATCCATTGCTCCAGGAGCTCAATCTCCTGCACTTCGCTGAGCTTCTGCTGCTTTCGAAAGTGGGCCTTGGATTTCATGGAGGGTTTGCGGTGGTAACCCGCCATGATGAGAGAGAGAGAGGATATGAGCTAGGGGTTACTGGTGAACCGAGAGAGAGAGAGAGAGAGAGATGTAGTAGTTCAGACTAGTAGAGAGAGAGAGAGAGAGAGAGAGAGAGAGAGTAGTAGTAGTAGTAATAACGTAGTAGAGAGAGAGAAGAAGAAGAGTAGAGAGAGAGAGAGAGAGAGAGAGAGTTCCTCACTAAATCGGCTTTGGGTTTCTGGGTTTAAAAGGGAGAGTTCTTGACCGAAATTGGCTTTGCGCTGTAAAGGGCCGGGAATGGATTTTGACCCGACCCAGGACCCGACTCAGACACAGGCCATCGTATCAGTCTGGTCCAAATATTGGACAAAATTATTGGGGTTCAGGATCCAATCCATGTGGATCCTACCATAAGAGTATTATAATTTAAATAATATTTTAATCATTTTTAATTAAATACGACTATATTTTTTAATTATAATATTTAAATTTTATATATATATGGGTGCGGTTTGTATAGGGCTCTAAACAATCAAATTAGAGCCTACCTTCAAATAGTATTGAGAAATGTGGTTACAATACTGAAAATGTTTGTAGTCTTAAAATATATTTTCATCTTTATTTATAAAGTTTAAAGCTACAAAAATAGTGTAGATCAATAGATATATGAAAATATTGAAAATTAATGGTCAAAAAATGGGCTACAAAATACACTATTTCCAAAACTTGAAATCCACTTTTTCTCATGTCTATACATCTTGATGTCGAGATGATCAATTTGAGGATATTTGGGCATCAAAACAACATCTTCTAGTGAAATTTTTTAGGTCGACTCAAATTTGATTGTTTAGAGCCTCGGCTTTATATAAACTTTTTCGGTACGGTTTGTATAGAGCCTAGGCTCTGAACAATCAAATTAGAGCCTACCTTCAAATAGTATCGAGAAATGTTGTTTTAATATTGGAAATCTTTGTAATGACCTTAAAATATATTTTCATATTCATTTATTAAGTGTAAAGGTTCAAAAATAGTATAGATCGACAGATCTATGAAAACTTGAAAATCTTGAAAATTGACAGTCCAAATACATGCTACAAAACACACTATTTTCAAAACTTGAAATCCTTTTTTTTTTCATGTCCATATATCTTGATGTCGAGATGATCGATCTGAAGATATTTGGGCATCAAAACAACAATCGCTTCTAGTGAAATTTTTGTGGTAGGCTCAAATTTGATTGTTTAGAGCCTCTATATAAACTTTTCCCATATATATATATATATATATATCTTTTATTTTATATATTTCATTTAAATATTTTATATCTTTTATTTTTGGATCAAATCCAATCGGGTCTAGTTGGGTCCAAGTCCAGTCCGGTCTATTCGGGTCCATGTCTAAGTCCCACAGTCTTTTTCGAGTCCGGGTCCGTACCTGTGTGACCTTGTACTGAGTAAAGTGAACCTCAAGGGATTATATATACTAGGGAAATTATCGTTAATACACCTTAATTTTAAGAAAATCGTAAAAAAAACCCAAACTTCCCAAAACCTCGCCCACACCCTTTTTCCCAAATTTCTGTATTTTCTAGATGAAAATACCGTTTACGGTACTCTTTCTACCATAATGCATTGCGACCATTACGGTAATTAAAATATCGTTGTAAATAGAGATAGAATTACGATACTTCTAGTACCGTAATGACATAAACATCTATTACGGTACTTTAATTACCGTAATAACATAGAGTATTATGGTAATTAAAATACCGTAATACTTTAAAGTCGTATTACAGTAATTTAAGTATCGTAATATTGCCCAACTCAACACGAAAGATTTTTTACTCTCTCAAGCCTACTATTTATTTACTGCCTCGACAAAAATCCACGGCTAGCTCTAATTTTTCAAATATTAAATTTTTAGGATATAATCTCTACTTAATTTTTATATGGTTATCAAAATTTTAGAACGAAAACACGCTTAAATAGGTGTTTTTTAACGAGAGAATAGATCCACATCGTGTTCCTATGGAAACATAGATTTTTTGAAAAGGATAACCCTGATATTAGCTTTGGTTTGAAGATTTTAAAGTATTACGATAATATCAGGGCTACCCTTTTCAAACCAAAGCTAATATAAGGGCTACCTTTTTCAAAAATCTACGTTCCTATGGGAGCACGATGTGGATCTACTCTCTCGCTCAAAAACACCTATTGGAGCGTGTTTTCGTTCTAAAATTTGAGAACCATATAAAAATTAAGTAAAAATTATATCTTAAAAATTTGATATTTGAAAAATTAAAGTTAGCCGTGGATTTTTGTCGAGAGAGTAAATAAATAGTAGGCTCAAGAGAGTAAAAAATCTTTCGTGTTGAGTTGGGCAATATTACGGTACTTAAATTACCGTAATACTACTTTAAAGTATTACGGTATTTTAATTACCATAATACTCTATGTTATTACGGTAATTAAAGTACCATAATAGATGTTTATGTCATTACGGTACTAGAAGTACAGTAATTCTGTCTCTATTTACAACGATATTTTAATTACTGTAATGGTCGCAATGCATTACGGTAGAAAGACTACCGTAAATGGTATTTTCATCTAGAAAATGCAGAAAATTGGGAAAAAAAAAGTGTAGACGAGGTTTTGAGAAGTTTGGGGTTTTTTTACGATTTTCTTAAAATTAAGGTATATTAACAATAATTTCCCAATATACTATAAGAATATTTATCTTTCTTATGAGGAGATTATGATTACTCTTATTATATGCCAAATTGTATGGTCTAGAGCATGTCATGAATTTTGAGAAATTTGAAGAACAAAACCATGGCCTCTTTATTACTTTTCCACAAAAAGGGTTTTTCGAGGTTAGAAACCCAAGAATCATCTTGAACCCCATGCCAAAGGAATTTTAAGTTTTACAAATAGTGTACTGTCTACTTTTATAAGTATTTATATAATTTCCTGCTCTGCATTACTTTTAAAATTTTAAATTTTATAATTTTAACTAAATATATATTTTCAAACTATTGTATTATTTCCGATGCTAAAACTATATAATATAATATAATATAAGATGGGCAGCTTATATTTATAGAAAAGCTAATGAGGTTGCTGATGGCCTAGCCAAAAGGGAATTTCTTCGATAGCCTTGTAATTTCTACGGATAATTGCCTACAAAGAGACCATTTATCCTTTTGTACACGGAGGTCACAATCATTCATACTTACTCGATGTAAACTTGGATGGTTTATGGTGAGTCGCGAAGTCCAAGAATTATATTTTTTGAAACTTTGTATCTATTCAATTACACTCTTACAACCACCTATTTTGAAATTTAAGAGACAAGAATGATTGTGACCTCCATGTACAAAAGATAAATAGTGTCTTTAAAGACAATCCCTTTATGAGGATATTGTTTTTTGAATTTATTCTAACACCTTGTGATCAATAAAATTTCGTACTCTCGTAAAAAAAATATGATGAGCACCCTATATAAACCTCACTCTTTATTAAAGACAGTGATATTTCACTGCTGTTCAAATAAGAGATGGTAGCTTCCCTTTCTAGAGATGGTAGTTTCATTTCTAATAAGCATGGTCATGGTGCTATATAGTCCTTAGATCATCTTTTTCAACAGTGTAATCCTTAGATCATTGAAAAAACGTCTTAATCCAATCAGTCTAATCCATTTGTTCCCACTTAAGTGTCTCCCATAGGATTCTTAATCATAAACCGTCTGTAAGTGTGAATGGATGGCAGATGTAGGTGGCCACCATAGTTTATATAAGGGTGGGGCCATAAACAGTCAAATTAAGTCACACCTCTAAAATTCAATAGAAGATGCTGTTTAGATGCTGAAAACTCCTCAAATTGATCATCTCAACGAATATAAGAAAAAATGAATCACAACTCCTCAAATTGATCATCTCAACGGATATGAGAAAAAATGAATTTCAAGTCTTCGAAACATTGCATCCTGTAATATATTTTTTGGACCATCAATTTTGAAGGTTTCAATTGTTTATGGATCTGCTCGATCTACAATCTTTTTTACCTTTAAATTCTATAACTAGAGATGAAAATGAATTTTAAAACCAGCACAAATATTTTCAGTATTGAAACATCTTTCAACACTATTTGAATACGTTTATTGTTTAGGGCCTCAAGCTTATCCAAACCACACCTTTTTAGCAAGAAACAACAAAACATAGCTAAAAACTACCAAAATTAAAATTACAATGTTACACAAAGCGCATAATAAGCAACTATCAAAATAATAGTACTATATTATATTAATTTCAAACAAGATAGTTTATTCCAGATAAAATTAAGGGAACTATCAAAATATACCGAACTTTCCAACAAACAATTTAATCAGTTTACCCTTCTTCAACAATTTCACCTCATGGTCATATGTATTTTGATGGGTACTTTGAAATAAAATAAAAAGTTGTTGAAATACTAGATGTTTGATATTTTATGTGTATTTTTATAAATGGACAATTTTAAAATAAGACTAAGACTTTGTAGTCACCACAAAGCTCACTGAAAGTTATAGTTTCCAGTGTCAAAAAATTCAACCTAGATCATTATGGTTGTGAAAAAAAAAAAAGACTTTAATCCCTAAAGATATAGTATATGAAAAAAAAAAAAGACTTTAATCCCTAAAGATATAGTATATTGTAACACATTATCTAAACCGTCCATTTTCAAGTATTCATGGATCTACAAAATTTATATCGTTGTTTGAGCTACAAGTTCCACAATTGGTGGTGGAAATTGATCTTAGAACTATTTTAGAGATTCCCAGTTTTCTAAACAAGATTTCAAGGTGAGGCTTTACTTTTTTTCATAAGGTATGAGCTTCATAGAAACTCAAAAAGTTAAAGATAATGCCAAGGCTTCATAGAAAGAAAGTAAAACCTCACCTCAAAACTCATCAAAAATTATAATTACATTGTCGGAAACCTTCAAATCGATCATCTCGACCTTGATCATTATGATTGAAAAAAAAATAGAATTTCTAATCCTGAAAATAATATACTATTACAACACATTATCTAGACTGTCAATTGTCAAGTGTTAATTGATCCACAAGATCTGTACCAATTTAGAGCTATGAATTTCTTAATCACTAGTATAAATTAATCTTAGCCAGTATAGAGATTTCCCGCACCCAAAGCGTTTTCTAGACAAGATTCCAAGGTGAGGTTTTATTTTGTTTTCCAAAGGCCTAGGCCTCGTAGAAACTACATCGTTATGAAAAGAGAAGTAAAATGATGGGAAAGGAAGCTCTTCCAATGAAGCATTACAGTTTACTTATCATGGTCCTCTGCATATTTATGAGTGAAAACAACAAAGGATGAACAAGCATCACTAAGGGCATGTTTATATTGACGGCTAAAAATGGTTATTCTAGTTATTTCTTCTCCCGGCTTGTGCATGAACACTACCTCAACAAACAGTGGCTCTTTGACAGTAGAACCAGGAGAGAAAAATTAGCCCTGGGTCTGTATTTTACTGGAAACCACCCAAATTCGCCTCGATGGCAATGGGTTACTCCAATGTAATACTAGTGTGTGGTTGCCCTCCCACACTTATGTAGTGTTTCCGCTTGATTTGCACCAATCTCAAAGAGATCAGCAATGTTCCATAAAACTTCAAAAGAAAATTATACTCATAGAGGAAAAACCAACTGTGAGAACCAGAGAGAGAGAGAGAGAGAGAGAGCACACCAACATGAAGACATGAAATCAGGAATATCACTTCTATGGGTCATTTCAGGGCATTATATAAAGCTAAATCATAAAAGGAATCTCTATTATATAAAGCTAAGGAATCTCATTTTTAAGTGGCATTGCAAAACGCCAAAGTAAAAATGTCATATATACCTCAACGTAATATATTACACGAACAAATTGTCAAAATCGCTGCAAATACAATGGCATCACCTAAACACAAGAAAAAAGTAAAACAAAGAAAGTTATTTCCAATACAAAATGGCAAATATCTGAAATACCCAACTAAATGAGAGGTAAATCAATCTGGTCTCTTCAAGTTCAAGCAGTTATCAGCCGCCTTCGTGAAAAGCACCTGCACTTGCTTTAACTCTTGTTCTGCAAACATGAAATACCAAAATGGAATAATGGTATGCGGTACTTTTCGTAACGAAACCTCCATCCAACCATTCATTAGCTTTATATAATAGAGATTCCTTTTATGATTTAGTAAGAGAAAGTGTCACCTGCAGCCTCCAGTTGCTTGTGAAGTTCCATCCCTACAGCTTCATTCTCCGCCTGATGAGAAATGTGAAAGAAAGGAATCAGAGTGAGAAAACATACACATCTAGCTAGCTCGTGCTTGATAGCAAAACTGTAGAGAGAGAGAGAGAGAGTGAGATCCAGCTGTGAGTCATAAAGGTTCAAGCAAGAATTGACGCAAGAATGGCCCATGCATGGCAAGTGCACGCATTTTATTTGCCCTGTTAAATGACATACACAATAGCAGTTAAAACTGTAAATTATAGAAAGTTCAAGCAACATTAGACACATGAACCAGCTAGAGGTAGAAAATGTGAGAGTGAGATGAAAGTTGAGAAGGTTCATCAAACACTAGACAAATTTACCAATATCTTGTACCTCAAGTTCTGCAATCCTTTTCAACTGAGCTTCCTCACCCCCTTCAGACAGAGGGAGTGCTGCAACAAGCAAGTCAAACTGTTGACGAGGCCAGCAAAGAAGATGATCAGTCTTGATTTTTATGTCCATAGCACACAAATTTTGTGATAGAATAGAAACCATCTGAACCCATAAAGAATTAGGCAAGACACCCGAATATCATCAATACCCATCTGAACTACAATCTGGTTACTTGAAAGCAACAGATAATTCACATATTACAGGTTTTATTTCCTTTAAAACGTTAATTTCAATAATGTAGTGTACAAACTCCTTAATTATGAGGAAAATGTACGACCAAGCTGCTATTTTAATGTATGCATGTTATTTTCCAAGAGATCATCCCAAATTAGATTTAAAGGAATTTGCACATATTATATCATACCCTTTCTGGGTATGTCCCCCATGTGGGTGAATCTCATTATCTAATAAATTGTTATAATGACTTTTAGGCTGCATGACAGGAAACCCTCGACTCCATGCAGCATTTAGATACTATTATAAATGTATTAATCAAGGAATTTGACGTCATGCCTGCTAGATTAAAAGAAACTTGGGCAGAATTCCCATTCACAGATTGTATTGATGAAATGCTTTATGCCTTATATGCAGAGTATATGTTATACAAAAGACTAATGAATTCACCATAATAAGCAACAGTTTGCTTACCAAGTAGTCATAATAAGCAACAGTTTGCTTACCAAGTAGTCATATTAGCACCTGGTTACAGACTTAAGCAAAGCTGCTCTCTGGTCGCTGATTGTGTATAGGTCAAGGATACCATGAACAACATTCTCCAATAGAATGACAATCAACCTCAATATGCTTTGACTACCAGGTTGTTAACAATCTTGATAGCATTGATATTATCACCATAAAGAGGTGAAGCTGAACTGAGGTGTACCCCAAGGTCGACCAACATGTGAATCCTCAAAATTCAATCAGCAGTAAAGGACATCTCTTTATATTCTGCCTCAGAAATGAACTTAGAGGCAACATCTTGTTTCTTGCTCCTGCAAGACACAAGTGAGCCTCCCAAGAAATATAACATCCAGATGTTGAGCATTGTGTTTAGACAGTGAACCCAATTAGAGTTATGCCACCAACTGAAACTCAGAATAGATGAGTAGGATAAACCTTTGCCAAGTGTAGTACAAACATAAGTGATAATACAACGAAATGCTCTCATATAAGATAAGGATTGCTGAACAGATTAACTCACCATCAAAGCTGCATGTGAAATATCTAGTCTAGTAATGGTGAGAGTGAGATAAATGACGAGACCAACTAACTTTTTACACACAGTAGGATACGAAAGAAAGTCTCTATTAGAAGTAGACAATCTAACATTAACCTGAGCAGGAGTATCTACTGCTTTGCTAGCAGACAGATGTGCTCTTTCAATGAAAGTTTTGCATACTTCTGCCGCCTCACAATAATCCCATGTAAGGTTCTTGATATCTCAATACCCCAAGAAAGTACTTAAACAGACACCTTAGTGGCAATATGATAATGAGTTTTTTATCTGGTCCCCATTTAATTCATCTAAATTGTTTGGTCTTGTTCATTCATGATGTTTGTTTGATTCGGAAAATCTCAACATGAAGGCTGATTTGGAGAGGTCATAAAGTCGGTCAATTGTTCTATGACTCTATCTGAATTATTTCTTGGGACCTACCAGTACTAGTCCGTCTGCAGCTATTGTTTCATGTTAGTCTCTTCATCATTGGTAGGGGTCCAAGCAAGCCAGGTCCGGGCCACGCCAAGGTTGACCGAAGAGCCATGACCAGGGCCTGACAAAGCCCACATAAGCCAAAGCCAAAGCCTGTCCAACATAAACATTTAGGACCAAGACCAGCCTGCATCTTATTCTATAAAAATAAGTGCAATCCATAACACCAGTAGCACTCTTACTAGGGTGCTTTGCTTGAAGAACTCCTATGTAAGCTACCAAGGATCAAGTCCCACAACTTACAAGTAATTTCTTTTATCATGCAAAAAGTAGAAACAAACAAGGTGGAAGAATTGAAAATGGAAGACTTAAATAACCCATAAAAAAGATAAACATTAAGGAAACTCAGAACCCACTAATATTTTATTCTTCTACCCAAAACAAGGGTAGATTATTAAAATATGGATGGCCTAAATAACCTACATAAAGAAATAAAAACTATAGAAACCAATCAGGTCTGACCTGACCTTTTAGCACATCGCAGAGGCCTGTCAGCCCCATCTCAAGGCCTGAGCCTGGGCCGCTATATGATACGAGCCCTAAATTAAGGCCCAGCCAAGCATGATAAGCCCACAAGGAACCTAAACCCGGACTCTATCAAATCAGGCTTACTTAAGCCTGTGAGGCCAGACTGGCCCACTCGCACCCACTCGCAGCCCTAATCATTGGCAATTATGGAAAACGTGTCTTGGTCATCTTGATTTTGATAGGCTTTAAAGTTTATTCATCGAGAACTATTCCTTCTTCATGTAACTTTACTGAGGTTTTCTATAATTAACTAAATTGCAATAAATGCAAGTTAGCTATACCATCTGCTTTGCCCTTTTCCAATTTTCGAAAATAAAAATATTTACAAATTTAATCTTGTTCACTTAGATGCATGGGGACCTTCTCCAATTTTCTCCAAGTTTTAAGTGGTTTTTATGAATTCATTAAATTGCAAAAATGTAAGTTGGCAAAACCACCTACTTTGCGATTTTGCAATCTTGGAAAATAAAACTATCAATTTGATCTTGTTCATTCAAATGTGTGGGGGCCTTTTTAAATTTTGCACAAAACCGGATCTAAATATTATGTTATTTTTGTGGTTGACTTCTCTCATCATGCTTGGTATTTTTTTCTTGTTTTGAAAAACAAAAATAAACATTAAGATACTCAAAACAAATTCTAGTGGCAAACACTTATCAAGGAAATCCCGAGGTTTTTTAAGCCACAACATAATCAACATCGGTGTGCTTGTCCTTATACCCAGAGAAAAATGGGGTTGCAGAATGTAGGAATCGACACGTTAATGCATTACTTTTACAACCCAATGTTCCACAAAACTTGGGAGCAAAAGCCATTTTGACTATTGAAAATCACAAAATACCTACTAAGTCTAATAAGTCTCCTTTTGAATGTTTGACTAATAAGGAATCAGATTATTCTATGCTGCGCATCTATGAATGGTTTGCTGTATTGGAAATAATTATCACTCAAAAGCAACATTAGAAGATAAAATCAACTTGAGATGTCATTGAAATATACCAACCTCCTTGAAGTGGACTCGATTTCGAGCCAAATCGAAATGTTTGGGATCCCAAATCTCCTCTTTTACAACCCCTATAAGCCTCAAAAGATTGGGGATGAATATCCTTTAATATTGTGACCATTCAAGGATTTCAAAAAAAAATTCTCTCAAATAATCTTCAAATTTAGTTTTTTTAATGTTGTTTCTCACTCTAAAGTTCACGAAAACTGCTTTTGGGGGCAATAATGGTCCCAAAAACCCTTATCCCCCCTTTTAAGGGGGTAAAATGACATTTTTTGCCCCCTCCTGAATTTTTTTTCTCCAAAAGTCATGCAGGCTGCCTAGGCATCTCCTTTTCCCACCTTTTCAACTGCCTACTAATAGTGTCCACCTTTAATATGCTTAGGTGTTTTTTTTACCAAAAGTCTGCCTAGGCGGTCGGGCAAACAACTTTTCGTTGATTGCCTCCAAGTCAAAGCTATGTTGATGAGTATGGCTCATGGTTGGTGTGATGGGCCAGGGCTAGGTGAACCAAACGAGTACAAAAAAAACCCGAGTAATTTCTGAGTATCAGCCCTGTGTGGGGTGGTCATGACTTATGGGACATGGTTCATACCCTGACACGAGACTACCCTATGGCATGTGCACTCACAGTCGCACGGGAAGCCACTCTTCTAATGTTTGATCCAACTAAGAAGAGCTAATGCACATGTGCCTTGAAAGGACCCATTTATATGAGCACTTATATGTTCCACAAGGGAGCACCTGTAATCCATTGAGAATCGGGTGATGAAAAACTTAATTGGATTGACTTTGATGAGGCCAAATTATGCGTCCTTGCCATAAACTGTGGAACATAGGCCCGTTGGGTTATACCAAGATAAAATGGACTACCTTTCTGGACCAGCCCAATGGAATAATCGTCATTGCTTGAGCTAAAGTGAGAAAATGCCTTCTTTCCATTATTAGAGTTATCCTTCAAATTAAAATCCAGATATTTGGTTTTTAGCATTTGAATTTTCACCATAAAAAGCCTAACACTCGTGCTATGAAAGAAGAGCCCCAAAAAAAGGATCAACAACGCCAAAGATTGGGTTGACAACCCAACCATGAGAAAGAAGGGACTCGAATTAGATAAAGTCTTGGGGATCCACTTTGATCAGATATGAGAGAGAGAGAGAGAGATGTCGAACTAGATAGGATGCGAGGATATGGTTTGATTTGATGAGAGACAGAGAGAGAAAAAGAGTCTGAGAGAGTCCTATAGAGAATGTTAGGGGGAGTGAAGAAATTTTTTTTTTTTGAGGTTGGGGGGGGGGGGAGGGGTGGAGAGAGAGAGAGAGTGGAAGGGGAAATTTGAAGGAGAGATAGAATACATATAGTAATAAGCTATTTAATTCACATCAAAGAAGCTACAAGGAATAGAACATGTGAGGAGCTTTAAAAAGCAAAACATGGATTCAAAAAAGACAAAGTAAGGCTCTATATGGAATCTGGCCAGGCTCGGGTAACAAATAAAGTTGAGCTCCGCCTTACTTGGGGTAAAAAATTTCCAGCCCGGGCCTACCATAAGAGAATTTGGGCTGGGCTCCGTCTAGGCATGGCCCGGCCCTTTAACAGCCCTAAAGGCCAGCAAAAGAAGGACACCAAAAAGTTGCACTGTTGTTGGGGACCATGGTATCTAATTGGTGCACACTAAGAGGAAACGAAATCGTAACGATTGAAGTAATTCTAGGACCTCTAACTCTTCCTCATCATCAAAAGCTCTGCTAAAGGCTGGGTCAAATAATTGTAACC